GGGGGGGGGCGGGTCGCTGGGCATTAGTGATGCCATGGGGGGCCCTGCTCAGCTGGGGGGTGTGCGTGGTTCTCATCTCAGCCCCCCTCCTTGTTCTGCACCTCTGTTGTGTGGTGAGCTCAGACCACCCCCCTGGGGCAGGTGACTGGGGGCTTCCCCATGCCTTAAACAACCCCACCAGCCCCCCCAAGCTCCTGCTTCTCCTGTCTTAGAGGCTGAGATCACCGTAAAGGCGCCCAGTTTCTGTCCCTGGCTTGCTGGGTGTCCTGTGGGGCTCCAGTGACCCCCCCCTGCCCCTCTCATGTCCACATATTGCTACCAGATAGCGCCTGTGGGTGTTTTCTTTAAGGGGAGGGGGATGGTTTTGGGGCCACGTTTCTGGTGCACCTCAGGGTTTAGCAGAATCGCTGTTCATGTTGCAAAAGGAAAGGAGCAGAGGGCTGGAGCTGGGGTGGCTTCTTGGGCCGGGAGCAGAAAGCCAGGCTGTGGCCATCAGATGACTCGAGCATGGCCCCGGTTCTCCATCAGCCGCTCTCCACGGCCGTGGTTTCCTTCACTCATTTTTTTGGCTTTGCCTTGCGGAGAAGAGCCCCGCCGGGGGTGGTGTGGGGGCTGAGGGTGATGTTGTCACCCATCCAGGCTGGGGAGAGGAGAGCGGGGGGTTTGCTGGGGTGAGCAAACCTCCCCGAGGTCTCGCGCATCTCTTCCCGGAGGTGACTCACGGCTGTGAAAGCCGGGGGAGGAATTTTAAAAGCTGCTGATGAGCTCCGAGAAAGCAGGTGGAACCACCAGGTTTTTGCCCAGACCTCCAGCATCGCCTTGGCTGGTTCTTTGTTGGTGTCACCTCCCGGGTGGCCCTCAAGCCTCGGCAGTGCTGGTGGCCTCCCTGCCGGGGTGGAGTCTGGGGAGATTTGGGGTGGGTGCTTGGCCAGTGGCAGGAGAAGCCGCTGGCCCGGTGGGTGCTGGGCTGGCAGCCAGAGAGGACGGTCACTGCTCGCTGCGGGTTGAGGCTCCATCTGCGCCGTGCAATCAGAGATAAGCACCTCTCTTCCTATTGCCAAACCCAGGGGCCCTTTACACCAACCAAAATGAATTTCCATCTCCATTCTGCTCTGCCATCTACCACCGTGCCATGGCAAAGGTCTCTGGCAAGGGGAGAGCTGGCCAAGGCTCAGCACCCGCTGGTTTCCCCCTCGACAGGACTGAGCCGGGGGCTATGGCCGAGCGCCGGGCGGCCTCCAAGGGCCGGCGTATGGGCTCCAGCCGGCGCAGGCAGCTGCACGAGGGCTCCGGCGAGGCACCGGCAGCCCCCGGCCCCAGCAAGGAGCCGCTGTGGACATCTGAAGTGGTGCAGAGGGTGCAGGACTTCTTCAGGGAGCGGGACAAGGACCAGGCAGGGTTTGTCACCCGCTCAGACATGCAGGTAAGGGATGGGGATGTCTTCTCGGGTCAAATGCCACCTGGGTGGCTGGAGACTGGCTGATGGGTAGGTTTTTCCCCTGATTTGCTTTGTTCTTAGAAATTGCAGGAGGAAGATTTCCCATGCAGCACAGAGGAGCTGGAACTCATCTTCGATGGGCTGGATGCCGCTGGCACTGGGCGGTTAAGCACTGAGGAGTTCACTGCTGGGCTCTGTGAGTGCCGGCACGCTGCCTCCAAGCAGCCTGGGCTGATCCTGGACACTGGTGCTTTTCTGGGGGAACCTGAAACATTCCCCTTGCTGGGTGGCACATGATGGCCAAAAAAAGTGTCCTTGTGTTCAGGTGTCAGCCCACGGCTCACCTGGTTAGAGGTCCTATTGTTCCAAAGTGGCTTGTAAAAGCCATGGGATGGGAAGTGTCGGGCTTTGGGCTTTGCTGTCACCCCAGGTGGGCACTGAAGGTTTGGGGTATTTGTTGGCAGGGCAGTTCCTGAGCTCCCAAAATGCTGCCAGGGATCACCGCCGGCGGAAAACAGCATCCCGGAGGGTCCGCTTGGTCCTCCCCAGCCCAGCGTTGGACGGGGCAGACAGTGAGGAGCGGAGACACTTTGCTGCCTTCATGGACCAGCTGGGCACAGACAACGTCTCTGAAGAGTAAGCCGCCCTGTTTAGCACCCGTGGGTGTCCTGCAGGG